AAAAGATATTCAGCATTATTAGCTATCAGAGAAATACAAATCAAAACCACAGTGAGATACCACTTCACACTCACTAGGATGTGGGTAGACAATAAATATTGGCAAGGGTATAGAAAAATGGGAACATTCAGACACTGCTGGTGGTAATGTATAATGATGCAGCTGCTTTGGAAAATAGTTAAACATAGAGTTACCATGTCTCAGTCCATTTGTGTTGCTATAAAGGAGTACTTGAGACTGGGTGATTTATGAAGAAAAGTAGGCTTATGGTTTTGCAGTCTGTATAAGAAGCATGGTGTTAGCATCTGCTGGTGAGGGCCTTCAGCAGCTCCTACTCATGTGAGAAGGCGTAGGAGAGCCAGTCTGTAGAGATCATATGGTGAGAGACGGGGAAGTGCTAGACTCTTTTTAACAACCAACTCTTTAGGGAACTAATGGAGTGAGAACTCACTCACCCAGGGAGGGAATTAATCTATTCATGAGAGATTCGTCGCCATGACTCAAACACCTCCCACTGTGTCTCACCTCCAACACCAGGGATCAGATTTCAACATGTGGTTTGGAGGGTCAAACATTCAAACTATAGCATACCATATGATCCAGCAGTTTCACTCCTAGGTGTGTACAGAGAAAGGAAAACATGTTCTCACAAAAACTTGTACGTGAATGTTCATAGCAGCGTTAGTCATAATAGCCCAAAATGGGAAATAGCCCAAGTATTCATCAACTGATAAATAGGTAAATAAGTATTGGAATCTGGGAGGTTGAGGATGCAGTGAGCCTTGATTGTGCCACTGCAGTGCAGCCTGGGCAACAGAGTGAGAGTCTGCCTCAAAAACAAATGGCCAAGTGTGGTGGCTCACGCCTGTAATCCCACCACTTTGGGAGGCCAAGGCAGGAAGCTTGCTTGAGCTCAGGAGTTCCAGACCAGCCTGGGCAACATGGCGAAACCCGTCGATACAAAAATTAGCCAAACATGGTGGCACACACCTGTAGTCCCAGCTACTCAGGAGGCTGAGGTGGGAGGATCAGTTGAACCTAGGAGGCAGAGGTTTCAGGGAGATGAGATTGTGCCACTCCACTCCAGCCTGAGTAACAGAGTAAGACCCTGTCAAAAAAAAAAAAAAAAAAGTACTTGATAACATGCTACAGCATGTATGAACCTTGGAAACATTATGCTAAATAAAAGAAGCCAAACACAAAGGGCTTGTGTGAGTCCATTTGTATGAAATCTCCAGAATAGGCAAATCTGTATATAGGACAGAAAGCAGACTAGTGATTGCTGGGCCTGGGAGGTTAGGGGAAAATGAGGAGGGACTGCTAATGCATATGGAGTTTCTTGTTGAAAATGTTCTAAATTTAGATTGTGGTGATGTCGGTACATCCTGTGAATATGCTAAAAACCACTGAACTACACTTTATTTGAGTTGTATAGTGTGTTAATTATATCTCAACAAAGCTGTTATAAAAAATAAAACACAGGGATTCTTGGATTTTCCTGTCTTCATACAAGATTGGGATGGAGGCACAGAAGCTATTGATAACAAAAAGCCAGCACTGGAGGCATGGCATGAGTCTCTTGGGGGCTTCATTAGCCATGGAATAATTCGCCAGGGAGTCCACAAACAACAGTGGCAGAGCTGCAAGGAGGAAGATCATGGGAGTGTTAGGATCCTGGATGAGGTGATGTCAGGCAAGAGGAGCCGGTAAAGTCCTCAGGATTCCCCTAAGGGTTATTCTGCCTTGCTTGACTTCCTCTTAATGCTTATGGGAGATTTCAGAGAGTTGCAAATTATGAAATGAGATTTGATGATTGTAACAGGACAAAATTTTGATTCTTTCGAAATTCTGAAAAAAAAGTTGGTTAAGTCCTCTTTTTAAATCTCTTATGTCTTTGTATCAGCCTTCCTTTTAAAAGGAAACACTTTAAAAGTTGTATGTAGTTTGTTGTTGGTGAAAAAAATTTAGTCATTCTTATGCTGAAAATATTTTGATGGCAAGAGGTTATTGAAATCACAGACATTTTTATTGACAGATTAGTATTGTAATGGTATCATTTTTGTTTATTTTGTTTTAGATGCTGTTAGAGAAATTTGTTGAAGAATGCAAGTTCCCTCCAGTGCCAGATGCCATTTGTTGCTATCAGAAGTGCCATGGATATTCTAAGATCCAGATATACATAACTGATCCAGACTTTAAGGTAAATAATGAGTGTACAGTGGGACATTAACTTGCAAAATCATTCCTTAAAATGGGCTCAAAACAATCTCTAATTGGAAGCACCCAAGTTCTCCGG